ACTCCTCCCATGTTCCTCCAACTACCCTTTCTCAAATTCATGACCTCTTCTATGTTTACTATACACACACACACACACACACACACACACACACACACACACACACACCCTACCAAGTCCAATTAGTGTTGTCCTTATTTACATGTGCTTAGGTCTGACCCCCTTACAGCTGAGATCCTGTCTCTCAAGATAAATCAGTACCGTTTCTCTGCATCTTAGCAGTTATGATGCAATAGTATCACTTGTAGGTTGGGGATAATTATTAACTGTCTAAAGGCCTAAAGGCAACTCAATGGCAGAGAAGTCAGGCCTGGTACTATAAACCCAACCACAAAGCCAAGGCTGGAGAGATCATAGGCCCTAGAGGACAACCTAGTACCAGAGTGTTAGTAAAACCACAAAGATTCATCCTTAAATGAATGGGCAGCCCTGACATCTCATTAAAGATGTTCCCCAGCTGATCAAAATACAGATAATAAATGACTGTGGAGTACCCAGTCCCAAATGGGAACCTGCAACACAAGCCTTACAGAAGGCTCAGGGAACGCCGAGGAAATGGGAGTGGAAAGGGCAGCTGCTGTGAGAGTTTATTGGACAGGACATGCTGCCCCATGAACTCTCAATAATATGGCTGCCTGCATGAGACCTGCACAGACCACAGCAGTCAGCATGCTACAGGTGGAGGAAAGCCCCTCAAGGCCTCCACCCCTAGACGAAAGGCCACTTCTGTGTTGATTTTCTGCCAGTCTTGCCCTTTAAAAATAGGAATCAGGCAGCCCTGTGCTGTGCTGTGCTGGCACTGGGAGCCTTGAGGCTGCTATTCACCGTAGACCTGGCCTCCGTGCCCTTCCGTCCCCCTTCAAGCCGCTTTGCTGTGTTTCACAGCAGAGTGTGTTCTGGTGATGATGTGGAGGCTGGCGGCTTGACTTGTGGCTGTTCTGTTGTGCTGTGAAGTTCATGTGCTCTCAACAATTGACATACATGTTCAAGGTGCTCAGACCCTTATAATTACTGTTGAGCAGATCCGATGCCTCCTCAAAGATTGGTAAACGTGTGTGGAGTTAAGTAGCAGGTGGGTGGTGCTTGGATGGCTCCTTTGTTTGTGTGGTGCTGAGGATTCAACCTAGGGTCTCAGTGCTAGGCAAGGCACTACCCCAAGCCTTCTTTTCCCTTTTTATTATTAAATGGGGTTATAGTCAGTTACCCAGGCAGGCCTTGAACTTAAGATTCTCTCAAATAGCTAGGGTTACAGGCTTGTACCAATAGGCCTGGTTGGACTGACATTTGTAAAGCATTTGTGTTTGGGGTGGATGCTTTACTTACTAAGAATGCCTGGCTTTTTGGATGGTAAGGGTTCTCTATCATAGTTATCCTAACAGTAGGATGGCGGGTCATGAGAATACAGAGAGAACTCAAAGGACATGGGCCAGGTGAGTGCTGGGAGGTGGGGGATGCGTGTTGCTGTATCTAAAGCTAGCAGGCAGAGAGGGTGGCTCCGTGCCCACCCTCTGATTGAGTTTGGGGGCTGGTGACTGTGACCTTGTCCTGGGGGTCACACTGACAGGGGGTGCTGTGGCCTCACAGCACCAGCCCAATGGACTCCCCTTTTACTGCTCATACCCCAGAAGGCATCTGAGAAATGCTGTGATGGGCTGTCCACTTCAATGAGTTTGGGCTTGTCAACCAGCTTTCTAGATGACAGAGGCTCCCAGATGATTCTTCCTGCCCCAGGGCATATAATAGGATGGAGTTTGGGTTTATAGACCAGTATGCAAATTTCCACCATGCCTCTAACATGCCATTCTCTTTAAGACCAATGTAAATGTGATATGCATTTTGGTCAGGGCCCTGTCTCCTTTGGATGCTATGATGGCTAAAACAGCAAGCTAACCAGCGAGCGCTATCTGACTAAAGACACCTGGGAAAATGACCGTCAACTGAGATGTCACCTTTACCAGACAGGCTTGTGGGTCTGTCTGTGCAGCATTTTCTTGATCTCTAATCCGTGAAGGAGGGACTAGCCCACTGTGGGTTGTAAGGTGTATGGTTTTTCCTCCCGCTGCCTGTCTTGTCCTGCCACCACGCCAGCCCCAAATAATACACAGAGACTCTGTATTTGATACAATGTTGTTGGCCCGGTTACTTGTTTCTTATTGGCTAGCTTTGTCTTAATTATTAACCCATTTCTATGTATTTCCACGTGGTCTTACTGAGAGCGGAGGAATGGCGGTTCTGCTTTCTCCAGACTCTCCATCTTGACCCTTTCTTTCTTCCTATTTCCTCTTTCCTCCTTGTCTCCTACTTCCTCCTATCTTCCTTTCCTATTGGCCAACAGTGCTTCATTCATTAACCAGTATAAGAAACATATATACATAATGACATCTCCCATCAGTGGATGGTGCTGCTCACACCTACAGTATAGGCTGGTGGTCCTAAATTGTATACGAAAGGCGTTTGAACATGAACCCGTTGGGAGCCAGCCATTGATAGGCTCTCCGCTCTGCTTCCTGCCTGTGCTCCTGCTTGGGTCCCTGCCCCAGCTTCCCTCGGTGGAGGACTGAGGTTTTGGTCATTACAGCAATAGAAGAGAAGCTAGGATAATGAGCTAATCCAATTTGAGTGCTTAGTGCACTGCCTGCATGTCAGACACACTCGACTGAGTGCCGGCTATTGTCCCTGCAATTATGATGCCTTGTTACCCACTCTGAGAACAAAATACAAACCTTCAAACCCGACAAATATATGGCACGTGCTTACCATCCTAGATCATAAGCACATCTACGTGTATTAACCAAGGGCAGGCAAGAAGCCATAACCATCCATAAAAGCAGCTGTTCCTAACCTGATTTTGCAGGAGAATTGGAAGTACAGGCCAGCTTAGAAAGCAGCCAATCCAGAACTCAGTCCCAGAAGTCCTGGAGCTGTGGACTTTCCTGCCTCGCACAGTTGGCTAGCTGTTCTTGTGACAATTACATTGTTCTGTCCACCTGAGTGGCAGTGTGGACATTAAATGTTTGTGAGAAGTCAGCTACAGAAGCAAAAAGAGAGTCCAAATTCTAACCCAAAGCCTGCCACATACATCACTACATCGCATGGTGTTGTAGAGCACAGAGGAGGCCAGCCTGGGATTCTTCATCTCTGAAAGCCGCTGGAGCAGAAATTCTAAAGCTTGGCAGCACTGGCACTTACTGAGGGAAATGCCTTAACTGGCCATTGTGGTGAGGTTGCCAGTGGTCTGGTCTCCAGGTTTCCTGAGATAGTAAGGGGTGAATGGTAGCCAGAGAAGAGAGAAGGAAGGGCTGATATAGTCCTTATGGGTGGTCACATGGTAATCTTTACTGGATGCCTTAGTTTTAAAGGCTTCGTAGACAGTAGACAGCAATTGAAGTCGGATGTACTGCATCCCAAAGTATGATGCACAGAGACCACACCGACCTCCTAAGATCTAGACATTCATCTCCCAAAACCAGCACGTTTCTAGAAGGCTCCCAGGGCAGACATAGCTGTTCTGCTATTTGCCTCCCAGAAGCTGTGCTCAGCCTAAGAGCTAGAAGCAGTCTTGTCTCTGGGGCTCAAACTAGCAGCTCTCTTATTGGAGTCTGTTTTCTCTGTAAGCTCCAGGCATCAGAGCATGTCCCTTGGGAAGTAGACTCTACCAGGGATGGGAATCTGGGCTTGTTGCTGCTGTGGCAGAGAAAAGAATGTACCCTGCTTGTTCAGAGCTGCTACCAATGCCACACAGCAGAGGCACCCTAAGATACTCAGCAATAGTCTTCCAATGTTGTGGGTTCAGGACCCTTGAGGAATTCCCAGCAGCATCCTAAAGAAAATGATGAGCAGTTTTCAGGCCTGGGCCGGAGGAAAGAATTGTCACTTTCTGTGTGACAGCGGGAACCTCATTGGTAGACAATTCTGCAGTTCCTGTTTGAAATGCCAATCTGTTTAGCCAAATGCCTGTGCGGGGAGGGAATGGGTAGCGCCCCTCCCCTGCCCGGGAGAGCAGTTTTGAAAGATTTACTGCCTAATAGGCTTTCAGCCTGGGAGCTGGGAGATGGCACAATGGCTTTTGTTTTGCAGAGCATCCCCTGGGCCCCCTCTGGACCCTGTGATGAGCACGTGTGTGTCCCTTACCATGCAGACTGCTGATGAGCCAGGGGCCTGTTGCTCAGCTTAGTCTAGAAAATGCTGCTGGATGTGACCTTATGCCTTTGGGAATTCTGTCTGGACTTAGGTGTTTGGAGCAAGTTGTCCCTCTCATTATTGGGGCTCACAACTCCAGCGTAGAGATTCACCTTCTCCTGATTGCCCAAACACGCCGCACCGCCCCGTGTTTGCTCATGCGGCTCTTCCCGCCTGGCGTGTTTTCCTATCTTTGCTTTGCGAAATTCCTGCCCATCCTTCAAGATTCAATTCAAATATTAATGCTTCACTAATCCTTGCCCTAGAAATTGATCTCTATTTTCCTCTCAAGCTCTGTTATCATTTTTTAAGCCCATCACGGCCCTTATCTAATTCGGCCTTGCACGATAAATATTTATGTGCAGGTTTCCCCCCACTCCCACTTCATAACTGCGTTGAACAAACGTCCTGCCCATCCTGAAGTTTTCCAAAAAACTCTTAAAAACCATTATTCCTGTATGAAATCTATATTTATTGAACAGGAGCAAGCAAGCAATGTCAGCGAGGATTTGGGGTGTGCGTAATAGGAAACAATTAAAATTAAGCATGGAAGGAGTCACACAATAATCAAAGAATCGCGTAGGTGCTGAAATGCCCAGTGCAGGACTGAGCTGTTCTCTGGGTGCTGGAGAGGCCCGGGTGACAGATGCAGAGCTCTACATGGTTGGATTTTTCTTTCGGTCCCCAGCAGCCTCAGAAAATAGCAAGCAGCACAAACATACACAGCTGGTTTATTTCCCACTTTTATTTGTGTGGGGATAGAAATTAAATTTCCCTGGAGGTGCTAACCCTGCTCTCCCCCCCCTTTTCTTTTATCGCAGCCCTGGACCCATCGAAGGACCCTTGTCTGAAGGTGAAATGCAACCCTCACAAAGTGTGTGTGACCCAGGATTACCAGACAGCCCTGTGTGTCAGCCGCAAGCACCTGCTGCCCAGGTAAGGTCAGGGAGGAGGTGACTAGAAGTCAGGGATGCTCTGCGGTGGTGGATCTGAAATTGCCCTGGCTCTGCCTGGGAGTGGGTTGGACAAAGGGAGAGCCATACAGTGTATCTGCCTGCATTTTAAATGGTGTCAGCATGTTTACACTCAGGTAATGGCATGGGTCTCACATTGCAAGCACAGGTTTACAAAAATCTTGTAGTCTTTTACAAAACATCATCATTATTATTAGTGTAGTGTATGGGGGAGTGTTTTGTCTGCATATATGTCTGTGTGCCTGGTGCCCACAGAGGTCAGAAGAAGGCATTGTACCCCTTGGAACTGGAGTTATAGATGTGGGTGCTGAGAATTGAACCCAGGACCTTTGGAAGAGCAGTCAGTGCTCTTGACTGATGAGCCATCTCTCCAGCTCTAAGAACAGCAATCTTAAGTTTAAAAAAGTCTTAATTTTGACTCTGAGCCCTCACCTGAACAAAAAAAGCCACTTTTTGTCTTCAAGGGGGTCCCCTCCTCCCTAAGTGACCCTGGTACCCAGGAAGGTTGCAGCCAAGAAAGCAGGAGGTGGCCCTAAATTTTTAGGGTTGCTACTGAGTGTGATGTAGCAGCCTTTCAGAAACTGGAACCTCCTACAGCGCTGGCTTTATTAGCTCCAGGGTGACACCCTGGGATCCCGCAGAATGACAGTTTTCCCTTTCCAGTTGTTGACATCAGTGGCTGGCGCTGGCCCCTTTGGCTCATCCTCCCGGGACATGTTGTGATTCTCTTCCCTCTGTAAGTGGCTCTTCTGAGATTTGCTGGGGTAGTGCCCCTCCCCTGCGATGGGTACCTGACAGTGAAACAGAGCTTCTCATTGGAGTGATGCTCTGCCTCTGCCTTCCCTACATCTGATGCCTGACGCCACAGACTTGGCCACCCGGATCCTTTGCTGAGGGTCGTTTTCTGAGTTGTTGCAAGTGCCAAGTACTGTGATGTGCAGGGCTGTTTTCTGAGCTGGTGCTTCTTCATGGGCGTCAGATGGGCCCTGCCCTGGAACCCCGGAGTACTGCTCTGCACTCAAATTCTCCTGCTCCTCCAGGCCCAAGACAACTTTAGTTTCTACACCTGATAAGACTCTGCCCAATGCAGCAATCCAAATCAAACCCAATTAGAAAAAGCTCATGTTTAATGGATATAACACTCCTGGGTGGATGGCCTTCCAGTCCCCCCGAGAGGACATGAGAAAGGGAAACCAAAATAACCCTACAAGTCTGTTTTCTGGGAGGCAGTCTAAATACCCAGTGGGAGTGGTCTTGAGCATCTCTGGAGGAAGGGGCATTTGTTGGGCTTTCTGAGATGCAGCAGGGTTTGGAGAGAGATGGGAGGGGCTTGGGTGGAATCTCCACCAAAACATCCCAGACTCTTTGAGTGTATGGATGTCAGGGGCTGGGGTGGAGCTTCCACCAGAACAGTATGGTTGACATACCCTGGTGGTCACTCCATGGAAGAAAGCTGACCTCTCTCTTCAGCAGCTATCAATGACATACAGCTCCTTGGCTAGGGGCGTGGCTTGTGCCCACCTCCTCCTCTCTGTGCTGGGATTTTGTCTGCTGTAAATATATTCAGGCCATTGCTGGGAGAGATATAAAAATAATTGAGTACTGTAGTGACGTTCGCGCTGCTACCTTGTGCTTCCCAACAGAGAAGTCCGAGAAAATCACTGTGTAAACGGTCTATTCATTACTAGAAAAGTAGCTCAAGAATGAGCTTTGGCTACGATGGTGTACCTCTTCCTTAGCACAAAGGGGATGACCTGGCCCAAGGAGGCCTGTGGTGTGGTCACTGTGGTTGCATTCCCAAACATCCTCCTCAGAAGTGGGGTTTCTCAGGCCTCAATAGCAGCCACCTGTGTCACTCCTTGGAGGGCCTTGGATGCCTTCCCAGAAGAAGCATCTGTCCTTGCACATTAAACGTCAGTGTCCCCTACAGCAGGGACAGCATAATGACAGCTCTATTTGTTCCTCTATCCGAGAAGTGCTTTTTCATTCTACCAAACATCTGCGGAGAAGCCTGCCAGCCAAGCTGGCCTCTTGCAGCTCAAAGGGAAAATCTTGCCTCTAGACATTGAGAAGTTGCTGGCAGACCAGGAGGCAGCTGGGAGGCCTCAGCTGATGACGCGGCCCCAGGTGTAACTGACTTGCATGTGGATTAGGGGGCAAGGCTGGCAGTGCCCCAGAAAGAGAATGCTATGGGCCTGGATGGCCCCTGGGCATCAACGGGGGTAGAGCAGCCATGGCACAGGTCTGTGGCCAGTGTTTCAGGACCAAGAAAGAGTTCTGGAGGGTGGTGGAGAGGGAGGCAGACAATCCTCCGGCCTGGAGTCTGTCTGCCCCAACCCTTTGAGGAGATTTGTAGGGGTTTCATGTGGAGACCCCTGCTGTAGTCACATCCTTCACAGAGAATTCTTGAGGAAATCCTTTCACTTGGTCCTGCTACTGAGCATTGCTGGCGGTGTGGGAGGAGGTAGATATGGAGCCGTATGCTCCTGCTTCATAGCCTCCATGGGATGAACGGTGTACCACAGGGTAATGGGTGAGGTCAGCACGGCTTCTCTTTGATGGCTTAAAACTTCTCAGTCCACATTTGGTATGATAGTTGACACTTATTATAGGAAACATTTTGAAATTATAAAAATAAATAGGAAGTAGATAATGGTTGCATTATTTATTAAAGACAGTCACTAAAGTATTTCGGTAAGTTCAGTCTAGTCTTCTAGTTTCTCTTTTCTCGTTTTTTGTTAAGATGTTTTATTTCATGCATATTGGTGTTTTGCCTGCATGTATGTGTGTGTGCCACATGTGTACCTGATGCCCTCAGAGGTCAGAAGAGGGCATTGGATCCCCTGGATCTGGAGTTACAGGTAGTTAGGAGCTGCCATGAGGATGTTAGGGACAGCACCATCCTGCGGGAGAGCAGCCGGTGCTCTCAGCTGCTGAGCCATCTCTCCAGCCTGTTTTGTTTACTGACTTGTTTGTGACAAGACTTACTTAGCAGATAGTCTATATACTATATAAAATCTAGTGTTGATACTTACACATGAATACTTTATGGTACTATAAACCATGCTTAAAAATTTAGTGATTACATAACACGTTGTATAAAAAGTTCACGTGAGAGAGGGGTCACATTTGTAAACATGCCCACACTAAGTCTATAAAACTTGCAGATGAAGATACTGTGGGACTTCTGTCCTTGGGTCTGATTAAGACTTCCTAATTGTGACATAGCAAATGAGATTTTACCCAGATTGGAGATGGCTGATGTTCTATAGATACTCCTACAATTTTTTTAAAAGTCTAGTCATGATAGGAGGAAATATTTCAGAGGATGTATGTATATGTATATATGTATGTATGTCTATATGTACATATGTGTGTGTATGTACACACACACACACACACACACACATACACACACGAACTCAAGGTGTATGGATCAGCCATTTGCAGCCTAACCATTATAATTGATACTACTCAGCCACAAACACATGTAAGCTATTAGTATACCAATCCAAAAAAAAAAAAAATCAAATAACAAAAAGGGTCAGACTCAAATAAGTATGCATTGTTCCATCTCCATCCCCGCCCTTCTGGGAGGAAGCACATAGTTGCCTGGGGGAGAAAAGGATATGAGAATGTGGTCAATGGCTGAGCATCCTACAACTCACAGCCACAAGGCAGATCTCTTGGGAAATAGAGAAGTCAGACTCCATCCTGGGATACCAGAGACCCCATTCATAACTGGGTCTGTAGCACTGGAAGGAAGGGGTGGTTAGAACAGTGTCCTGTGGTTCGTAGCTGGAGAATGTTGTCGCGGGGAAGGAGCCTGTAATGGGCTCTGGGCCAGGGTCTCTCTGTTGTTGGTGATCATTGCTTCTGATCTGCTACTTGTGGAGAAGGAGGAGGCGGGGTCTCTTCACGGAGTGTGGGGGGGTGAATGTTTATCTTTACCTATCTCTTACCATTGATTTTTATTTGGGAAGTGGAAAATGGAAGCCTTTATTTGGAGCTGTCCAGACAAACCACAGACTCTGATTCTGCCAGGGCATTGTGAATGGGGAGACGATGTCAGAACAGGACTTGCAGCATCTAAGTGGACCCTTCAAAGCCTTGGGGAGCTGTGGGAACTCATCTATTTTTAAGTACGGAGCGAGACGGCCCAACTTCCCAGAGGGCCGGGCCTCTCTAATGTAATGGCCCTTCATCTCCGCTTCCTCCCTATCTGGAATAACAACTAATTCTCTGTGCCAGCAAAGAATTTAGATGCTGTCCAGGCTTTTGGTACAGTAGACCAATCTCAGGGCTTTCTCTCTTTTATGTGAACTTGAAAAAAAAAGAATCAAAGTGTTCGAGGTCAGAGAGTAGCACATCACAGGATGTGCCTCAAATACCAAACTCTCAGAGGATATTTGAAAGGATGGGGCTGTTTCATCTCAGTTTTGTTTTACAACAAAGCACTGCCTCCTGCTACAGGGGCTTTGAACCCGTTGATTATACGTACACATAGCTGTGGAGGCTCCGAAGCTCACATGGCCACATGGAAGGTGCCAGGCTCCTGGGCACCTGCCTGGCTTTCTGATGCTTCACCCATCAAGGCATTGCGAGTTATCATCAGGTCGTGGACACCACCTTCATTACTGGGAAACTGCACCGATGTGGCTTGTATCCCTTCTGTGGGAGACCACGTGCTGCCCCGGGTTGCATTTCAAGCTCGGAGATCTTCATGGGCAGAGCTGCAGCCTAAGAACTCGGCGGTGGTGTTCCTTTGCTGGCTATGGAAGCGTCACAGCTAACTTTGGGTTCACACTCTTCTAAAGTCAGTCACTTTGATTAAGTGGGAAAGATTCCGCCTTGGCCTGCTTTTGGCTCATGCCAACTATATATACCACTGAAGGAGAGGAGAGTGGATGTTCCAAACCAGCACCGACTGACTGCTTACTGTGCCTCAGAAGAAATTTAAAA